TCAGACTGATTTTGGTTAGTTTTTGTACGATGATTGATGATAATCATTTTCCAAATAATTTTGAATCACACTGTATACAGTGTAGGATATTTAACACTTTTTTGCGGATCATGTGATCGTCGACCCCTTTTAAAATCAAATCGCGTGTCACGCAAAAATTCAAAAACAAATAATTGAAATTTTACCTATTACTTTTCGTGCGAAATTTCTAAAACTTTATAAAATTACTGGGCTTTCTTTCATTTGCACAAAAACAATCAAATTGTGCGTATAAAAATTATAATGCGAGTAAAGATACTACATAAATTGTTTAAAGTATTATTTGTTGAAATCTCCTGAATAATATGCGATAAAAATAAACAAGAAATGGATAGCACAAAATTATTGCGTCTCTTTTATAGAATTTACGTGAAGTTTTCAAAGTCCTGCAAGTACTCTATGATAGGAATTCAGGTTGGACTTCAAGAATGCTTTTCCAAATATGTTAACAAAGAGATTTTTAGACAAACAAATAAACATAAGATATAGACAAGAATAATTCAACAATTTGATCTTCATGTAATTAATTCATTTTTCTTCTAATTTTGTAAAGTTAATATAGTTAATATATCATGTTAAACAATATATAAAAGTTCTTTCATTAATAATTTGTTCAAGATATATTTATTTACCTTTGAAGATGCTAGCTTTAACTTGTGTAATGCAATATATTTTTAGTATGTTCTTACTATAATTAATTATATTTCTTAGTTTCTAGTTTTTGATAAATAAATTTGTCTATAAATTTTTTAAAAATATTATAATACTTATTTATTTATTAATAATAAAGTTTTATATAATTTAGTGCAAAAAGATTGATACATCAGATAAATATTAATAAATTATTTTTTCAAAATAAAATTTTAATTCTGTCTTATTTAATTAAGTTATTAGATATTAGTATATTTAAATATATTATATATCTTTTACAAAAAAATTTTACTAATAATAAAAATTTACTATATAAAATTTAATTAAAATTAATATAAAAATTATATAATAAATAATTTAATTATTAATTTAATTTTTATCAAATTTAAAATAATTTGCTTATATAATTTAAAGTTTTAATATTACAAATTAATAATAATAATATTTAATTTTTTAAAAAAAATTTTATTTTAGTATAATAATTATTAAATTAAAATAATATAAAGAGTTAATTTAGATCATTTTTTATTTAATATAAAAAAATTATATAAAGATTAATTAAAATTTAATTTTTATTAAAAATAATTATTAATTTTATATTGATATATTAATTTTTTTGTATCAAATTATATAATTATATTATTATTTTATTAATAAAAACTTATTAATTTAATAAAATTTATATAATTTTAATTTAAATTAATTATTTCATTAAATTAAAATTAAAGATAAATTTTTTTATTAATTAAAAATTCTGTTTTAATAATAAAAAAATAAAACTTTTTATTTTATTAATTTTAAATTTAATAAATATATTTTCAAATAGAATATTAATAATTATAATAAAATATAATGAAAATTGAAATTTTCACTATGTTTTATTAATAAATTTAGCCTTTGAGTCATTATTTTTGGTCATCACTATATTTTCTAATTAATTTATTCTTATTTATTTTATTATTTTTTATTTTTTATATTAACTAACTTATAATAATAATAAAGATATAATATAATATAAATAAATTAATATTATTTAACTTAATCAAAAATATTTAATTAAAATATATAAAAAAATTACTCTTGAATTATTAATATAATTTTTTCTTTAATTTTTTTATAATACTTTTTAAATAAACAATGATTATAAACTTTTTTTAAGTATTTAATTAGAGTAATTAATAAAAATTATTATTTAATCTAACTATTCTCTTTTTAACTCTTATTATAAAGAAAATTCTATATAGGGATAATTAAAATAATGCAATGCTAATTTATAATTTTTTAAAAAATGGATATAGGAATATATCCAACTGAATTATATCGGAAGAAGATATTGTTACTCTATGAGAGATTTTAATCCAAAACGAGAATTATTGTTAAGATGCTGTCATGATGGAGGCTTTACGCATAGTGAACTACAGGTTTCGAGCATTAGGTTTGAAAGTAATAATAGAGCAACGAAGTTTTCTACAATAGTAAGCTATAAATTTTCTTGATTGGCGTGCTTGCTTTATATTTGTCTTCGAGAGTGATTATTTATTGTAAGTAAATAACTTTAATTGATAGACTGGAAATTTTGTTTATTATTAACTCTTACGTACACACAATTTTAAGCAAGTTTGTAAAAGCGTTCGCCCAAAACAGCAGATCTAGAAAATTGTTTGTTTGATATCTTACGAGTATCTTTTTGGTACAGGAACAATAAAAATTCTCGTCTTTTTTTAGAACGAACGAAATTAATTACTGAAATTAGTAATAAAAGACGGATACAACAGACGGCAGAATAGTATTAGAAACAGGAAAGCATAAATTTAATATAACATAAGAATAGATAGTCTGGCTGAAAGGATAATACATCATTTTCCAGCTTATGGAACAATTTGGACAAGAAATTGGTATAATTAACAAACTATTCCATTAGAAATGAGTTTTTCTCAGGCAGAGATTGATGCAGCGAAAATGATAAATACGACGGTAACCAAAATTTATTGTGATTTATCAATATTTATTCTATTCTTCTCAAGTTTGATGATACATGAGTTGCGCTTTCTACAAAGAAAAAATATTAAATCAATTTAGTGCGGTACTAATATTAACTCGAAAGTTCATTATAAAAGTGGCTTTACTTACCAATGCCATTATATGATTTCGTTGTTCGGGAGGCAACGAATCGATTTGTTGTGGAGTTAATTGAAGCACTTGCATTAATAAAGCCTGAAATATGTTAAGAAATCAATCAGTATCAAAATCATTATTAAAAATGAGGAGACTAAAAAAAATTAAAAAATTTGATATACTTTTTGTTGCTCTTGTATTTGTATATCATCTGAATAATAAATTCATTAAAGAAATTTATTTAGTTATGATATTTTTTATTCGATGAAACTATACAGATATTAATATTTGACATACTGCTTAAACCAGGATTAACAGGATTGACGCCACTCGGTATTGGAGCAACAGGGTTCTGCTGAGGGGGAGGTAATCCTACGTTCCCCATCGGCATCATTCCGCCGGGAATTCCTAGCGGAATAGAAGCTTGTATTGGAGGTGGTTGTACCATTTGTTGTGCTGGCAATTGTTGTGGTGGTGGTTGTTGCTGCTGTGGCGGTGGTTGTAGCGATTGTGGTGGTGGTTGTATTGGAGGCGGCTGTTGCATCATTGGAGGCTGGTGGGGTATACCACCATATAATGGTGGTGGTGGTTGTTGTTGTTGTACATTAACAGGATTTGAAATCACCGGTGCTGGGTATCCTGAAGTAGGAGCTATAGGAGGTGGATTCGTAGCTTGTGGAGGGGCTTGTTGTAGCGGGGGTGGTTGTAGTGGTGGTGGTTGTTGTGGCGGATTGGATTGTAGAATCCGCTAGAACATTTATTATTATTGATATTAGTATGTTTCTCGTTACATATTAAAGCTTCATCTTGTTCTTATCCCTATAATGGTATAGTAGTACGTTCACTAAACATCGACGAACACCAAGATATGATACGATTAACATGGGCCAAATAATTCTCTTTACCTGTAATAGTGATGTTTCCACAAGATTAAGTGATAACATGGCATGAAAAAGTGCATATGACAATTGAGGATTCTGAGTTAGTAATGCACGGGCTTGTTCCATGTTGCTTTGTACAAGTAACTATAATAATGATTATTAAAACTGATTAATAAAGTCGTCTGTGATATTCAAGAATAATTATAATAAACGATACTAACTTTAAATTGTGATAAGACTTCAAAAAGTTGAGTAGAATTCATATTAGCCAGTGTTTTGGAAATAGAATCAACTGCAGATGGTTGTGCAGCACCGCCTATTTGTAATTGTTGTGGTGTTTGTTGTGGAGGAGAATGTTGATGTCCAGGATGCATTATTGATGGATTCGTAGTTTGTGAAGGTGGTTGTTGTGGTAATAATTGTTGTGGCTGTTGCTGTTGTGGTGGTGGTTGTAACTGTTGTTGTTGTTGTTGTTGTTGCTGCTGCTGTTGCTGTTGTTGCTGCTGCTGTTGTTGTGGTTGTGGTTGTTGTTGTGTCGACGATAATCTATTGTCTAGCATTGGAGGTCTATTATCCTGAGGTCCTCCCAAATTTGATGCCATTGCGGGATCTCCATCTGCATAATCAACTCTCAAAGGCCTTCCTCCTACTTCCACGTTATTAAGATTTCTTACGGCACTTGCAGCTGTTTCAGCATCTATTATAGATAATTTACGAAGCGAAAGGGTCGGAGTCGAATCAGAGAATCTGGCATTTTGATTTCTTTGAGGAAACAGTAAACTTACCATGATATTCGCAAAAACCATATCCTCGTGGCCTATTATTTTCTCTATCAAATACCAATCTATAAACAACACAAAAGAAATGCAAAATTAAAGTTCTCTTCCTCCTCTTCTGTAAGTTTATCCTTTAAATAATGTTCGAGTAAGATGATGTCTAACCGGAATGAAACTACAGGACCCACTTCCTGAAAAATATCAGTTAATTGATCTTCGGTCAACTCATATGGAATGTTACCGACTAAAAAAAAAAAAATGAAAGCAAATTTATATATATATAACAAGTCGTAAGTCGTAAATCAACATTGTATTATAAAATAATTTAATACCAAATACTACATTTGAACCCCGAGGAACACTGGAATTTATGTTTTTTCTACTCATTTGGTGATATTGTAGCAATAACCATTTAAATTTTGGGTGATGATGTTGATGTTAATAGATTAACCCTAGTGTAGATTTTTCGATAAACATGGTAATGAGCATAAACATCAACATCCTTTAACAACCAAAGGTTTAACCAAGTATTAATACTTTTTCGATAAAGGAAAAAAATGTCCTCAAACCACTCTAACTCGAATTTTTCTCCATCAAAGTATGATCAATCTGGTTATTTTACAGGAAATGCTACAGAATCTTCGTCTTCCGCTGCGTACTATAACGTGGATTACTCTTACCCCACGTCAACTATTTCCCAATCTCCAACATATTACTCAAATGCTAATCCAGCTGTTCCAAATACTGGGTACGAGGGCTATGATTACTCGAGTTATTCTAGTGCAGGTTATTACTATCAGTATCCAACGGCTTCAAGAAGTTCAAGTTCAACTGTGACAACAACCCCTCCAGTTGTTGAAGCACCACCGACACTTACAAATACTACTATACAGCAACCTACTGTCAGCCTGAAAGCTACCCCCTCGCAAAGTTCTAGCTCAATTAAGGATACGAGTAGTAGCTCGATAAGCATGGCCGAGACGAATAAACAGACTACTGGCACTTCAAAGAAAAAACAAAAAACTATAATTCGTGCTGCTGGTGGTGAGGTTTGGGAGGATCCGACATTACTAGAATGGGATATAAGTAAGAAGATATTTAATATCAAAATTGCTTTAAAAATTTTTCTTGGGACTCCCACTAATTTAACGCTTTATGATGATATATATATATATATAGATGATTTTCGATTATTCTGTGGAGACTTGGGCAACGAGGTAACGGATGATTTATTATACAAAGCTTTTAGTAAGTATCCATCCTTACAAAAAGCCAAGGTAGTTCGTGATAAAAGAACCGGAAAGTCAAAAGGTTATGGGTTTGTGAGTTTCAAAGATGCTGATGAATTCGTCAAAGCTTGGAAAGAAATGAATGGTAAATCAAAAGTTAATATATTTTCGTTTCTTCATTCATGTTTTTTGATCTCTCTAATTTATCTTTTATTATTCAGGTAAATATGTAGGCAATCGACCAATAAAACTACGAAAAAGTACGTGGAAAGACCGAAATATTGAAGTAAAGAGCAAAAAGCATCACCCGTATAAATAAAACAAATTAATAAAGATTAGTCTCTTTGAACCGCCAGTGTTTGAAATACGAGTTGCGACTGATATCAAAAAAAAAAAGGTTTAATTTTTTGATATAAGAATCTTAAGCTAACGATCATGGTGGTTATTTCTGTCGATTTGGAATAAGATGATATTTCTTTCCTAGGGAAAACGCGGCGATGTAATACACCAAAAAGTAATTAATGGTTTACATGTACGCGGTAATAAACTTATATTTGATGCTGTACATGCTAATATAAAATATTCGTTATAATATAAAATATTCGTTATAAACAGATTATTTAACTACACCAGTGCTAGCGCTAGAAAATTATATATCTATATATATATATACATTGCATTGATCGATATTCCAAAAAAATGCAATTTTTGAATTTAACGAAGATCCTAACGCTAAATTTTAAAAGTGGCTTAGTTCAAATTTATTTGATAATCGTGTAAAAAATTGAAGATATTAGTGATAGACATAAACGTAAATAATGGTTGGTTCTTGTTCTTTCGTTTTCTACGTGCATTAATTATAAAAAGTAGAACTAAAGCTTGTAACTTTTTATGCATTAAAATTTATTTCTTGCAGGTTGTTTTAGCTGCTGCAATATGTACAAAAGGGGGGAAAGGTAAAAGGACACCAGAGCATTCGTTGTAACCTTAGGCAAATTCTAATTATTCTTCCATTGAAAATGTTCGAATAAAGTCGTACTTTCTCGACAATTTCGGGAAATGCCAAGACCACATATAGAGGGGTTACTTGCCTCGTTCCCTAAACTAACTAGTGCTGGGCAACAGCACACTACCATAGAAATTGAACATGTTCGATACGTATATCAGCCACTCGATGAACTATACATTGTTCTTATAACCAACCGACAGTCAAACATATTGCAAGATATTGATACGCTGCATTTATTTGCACGTGTTGTCTCGGATGTGTGTCGATCTACTGATGAACGCGAAATTCTAAAGAATAGTTTCGAACTGTTGAGCGCTTTTGATGAAATTGTGTCGTTAGGGTATAGGGAAAATGTAAATTTAGCTCAGGTTAAGAGTATTATTGAGATGGAAAGTCATGAAGAGAAAATTCAAGAGATCTTAGCAAGGGTATGTATATTTATAGATCAAATATAATACTAGAGTTTAATTTTCTCAAACATCATAATAATAATAATAATATCCTTTTTAGAATAAGGAGCAAGAGGCCAAGGAAGAACTTAAAAGACGAGCTAAACAGCTCGAATTGCAAAAGAAAGAAATGCTTAAACGTGGAGGAAACACATCATTTGGAAGTAATTTCAGTCAATCAATTAATAGGCTATCTTCTTATTCTGAACCGCAAGTACAATCTCCATTTGACGATGGAATTCGTTCCTCGTATAACAGGTAATACTCCAAAATTATGTATTTAAGATGTAAAGGTGATCACTAACAAGAATTAATAAACTGTGATAATCATCAATAAGTTCTCCATCTGCCTCGGTATCCTCCAAAGCGAAGGGTATGCAACTAGGACGTAAACAAAAAACGGTTGATTTATTTGAAGCGGTTAAGGTCGAAACTGGGTTTGAAGAAATTACTGAAAAAACAAATGTGAGAAGCAGCACAACAGCCGTCTCAAAAGTACCTACGGAAAGGTTATTCTTTGTATTCAATTATTTATTTTTTTTTGTTTGATCTCTGGGATAATATGCATTTTTTTAATTGATAGAGAATACACAATCATCTCTTAATACAGTGTTCATATATCCATCTCGGAAAAGATCTCTCTTGTAGCTAATCGTGACGGCGGATTAGAAAACTTGGAAGTTAAGGGTGATGTGAAACTTACCATCTCCGATCCAAACTTGACGCGTATTAAATTAGCTGTTGAAGCGGTGGATGATGGCAATGTACAGCTTCAGGTATGTCTCATTCATTTATGCACTAAATTCATATTAAGTTTGTCGAAATAGGAGATTGATAAATTTATATTTTCGAAAACATTATAAATAGACACATCCAAATGTTGACAAAAAATTGTTTACAAGTGACGGAATAATCGCGTTAAAGAATCCAGCTAAAGGGTTTCCTGTTAATCAACCTTTAGGTGTTCTAAGGTGGCGATTCATAACAAAAGATGCTACCAATGTTCCACTATCAAGTAAAAAAAAAATTTATTTTTCTGCATTTTTCATCAATAAATAACTCATTTAGTGCTTTTTTTTGTTTATTTTCACCTATTATAAATAAAAAGTAAATTGTTGGCCTTCTCCTGCTGGTGATGGAACAATTGATGTAAATATTGAATATGAACTAGAAAACGAAAATCAAGAATTCAAAGAAGTGTTGATTACAATTCCTTTACCGTAAGTTTTTTAATATTATCCTCTTCGTTATATACTTTATATTTTTTGGTGAATTAATCTAAATTGATTATTATATCAAAAGATCTAACGGTAATCCTAAAGTTGGCCAAGTAGACGGTCAATACGAAGTGAATCGACAAACACGCACTTTCGAATGGCAATTACCGATAATTGACGCGTCTAATAAACAAGGGTCCCTTGAATTCAATACTCCAGGGGATGATATCAGTTTATTCTTCCCAGTACTCGTGTCATTTGTCAGTGAAAAGTTGATCTGTGATATTGATGTAAGAATAGTAGTTTCATTCTTTGTGAGTATACTTGATATCATTAATTTCTCTGTTAATTGATCGCCATTCCTTGTATTGGTTTTTTTTAGATCAAAGAAGTAACAAACCTGGATAATGGAGCTTCTGTTCCTTTCTCCAAAGAAAAAATTTTAACGGCAGAAGATTATAGCGTTGTATAGTTTCGATAATGATGATAGAGTAATAAAGATCTGATTAAATAGGTGCAGCTCAAGGGGTCGCGTTGTTCTGCTGCGAGATCGTTGAAATCGTAATTCTGTCATTAGGCAGATTATGAAAAAAATGAAATCGAATACTTTTAATTTATAGAATAGATATAATTTTAAGATATTTATTAAATTCTTTTATCATATTGCACATACTAAAGTTAAAAAATTTAGAAAGCTTCACGTATTTCGATTCTACAAGAAAATCCCGTTGCAAATGGTTTTTATTAAAAAACAAGATTGTCAATGACTTATGCAGATCTCTAATTCCCACTACGAAAAATTGACTTGAAATCAAAAATTCACAAAGAGGAATTGACTTTCATCCTGGTAAAACCAAATACTTTGTACTTTCGGTTCTACGGCTCCTTAGGATATCTTAAAACAAATAAAGGAATTAAAGCGTGTGTTAAACTAGAACAGCAGAAATGGAAAGAACTTAAGGAGAAAAATTGATTTCTTTAAATAAGAACAAAAAAGTACAAATTCATCCAAATGCAATTAACACAATCGAATGTTTACCACGAAACTTTTTTCAAGTCCAACTCTTACTGGTACAGTAATTTTTATTACTAACTTGCAAGCTAAACTACAGATAACTGATCTTAACACGAACCAAAAGTAATTTGTATTTACGCGCATATATTTATTAATCGATATTGGTAAAAAAATGATCAGAATAAAGAATCACGAGAACGGCTTCTATATTACCTTTATTTTTTATATTTCTGCTTCTTTTTCTATTCAAGTCTGAATAGATTTAGATAGCTCAATTATCTCATGATATTTATATACTTTAAAATCAATCTCTTCAAATATTCATTAGAATTTATTCCAAATCTTGATTACTAATAGCTTATTAGAACTGAATAAAGGATAATTGATATATAAGTAAATAATAATAAAAAAATATATAATTATATTAAGATATTTATAGATCTAATGATAACTTTATTATTCTTGTACTTATAACTATAGCTTTACTTATGATTAACTTTTGAATAGGATAAAGAAACTTTTATATTTATTTAAGACTATTATCATCAAGATTAATTATAAAAATATATTTTTAACAAAAATTAAGAGTTATTTTTTTTTAAATCAATCTATTTCTTGTTATTAAGTTTAAAGATGACTTCTTAACTGTTGTAATATTATAAGAAATAAACATTACTAGATTGCAACTAGTTATAATCTTAATAATTTTGAGATATAATATTGTAACAAATAGAGTATTACTATGTTATAATAGTTATAATACTCATTACTAATCAAATTTAATAATTTTAAAATATATTTCTAATTTATAAAAATAATAAATTTAGTTATTACTTATATATAATAAAATATAATAAATTAATTTAAAAATATTCTAATAAAAATAATAACTTATATATTTTTTATAATTATTCTTTTAAGTTTATTGTAATAAAATTTTAATAAATTTATTAAAATAATCTATAATAAAAGAAAAAAGTACTGATATATTTAAAATATCTATTTTTTTATATTATTAATATAATTATGATTAATATATTATATATCTCTAAATATAAGTAATTTTCAAATATAAATAATCATCTTTTTTTAAGATTTGAGATTCTAAAAATATTATATATAAAATATAATGAATTTATACTTAAATATAAATAATCTTTCTCTCTTTACTCTGTTAAAATCTTATATTTTTTGATTACTTACAGTATATTTAGAGATATATAATAATAATAATATTCTTAATAATCTTTTTATAATTAATATTTATTCTTTTATATTATTATTATTTTAAGTTTATATGTATATAAATATTTTAAAATAATAATAGTGACTATATTTATAATAATTATTTACTTTTATAGCTTCAAGAGATTATACAACTAATTATCTTCTTAATAAGATAATATATATGAGATTTATTTTTGATAAAATATGATTATCTTCTCAATAAGATAATTTATATATATTTTACTACTAATAAAATTACTCTCTCAATAGAACAAGAAGAAATAAAAATAAGATATGTGATAAAATATATATTTATTAAAGAAAAATACTAATTAACTACTTTTAACTCAATAGCTAATTCTTTCTACCAAACTTAATTATTCTTTTTGGTTACTTCTTGACTCTATATATAATATTTTCTTATTATGTTAATTATAAATTATTTCTAACATAATGTTTTATTTAATTTACTCAAGAATAAGTAAAATTTAAAAAGAATAATTACAAAGAATATTAAATATATAATAATAAAGAATTTAAAATTAATAAAATATTAAGTTATTTAAAGCTAAAGTAAGAAAAAAAAGAAAATTAATAATAATTAATTAAGTAATTATTAATTTAATAAAACTATAAATTAAGTTAACACATATGACTAAATTAATAAAAAAATAAGACTAAATATGGGTAATAATATAAATTAAAAATAAAATTAATTATAAATAAGATTAATTAATATAAATTTTTTATTTATCTGATTTAGTAATAATTAGTAATTACTATACTATATGCTATAACTATGTCATATACTGTATTATATCTATTACACTATATGAATAGGTAATTAGTTATAATATAACTAAAATAATTTAATTACAGTATATAATAAAAAAAATTAGATATTTAATTTTTTTTATAAATATTCATTTAAATAACATAAAAATTTAAATATATATACTTGAGAGTATAATAAATAATTTTATTTAAGACTACTTGAATATTTATCTTATTAAAATTTTTTATAATTTATATTCTTAAAATTAAAAATTTTTAATAATAAGAAAACTTAAATAAATTATTATAAATAAATTTGATTATTATTTTGCAAATT